GTAATTAATTAATTAAATTTAAGGAAAATAATTATAAAGAAAAAACATTTTTATTTAATGATTCGTGTACAAATTTACTATGGCGCATGCAATATTACCATAAAAATATTGGGCTGCTACTCAATAATTCAATTATACATGTATAAATGTAAACATTCAAAGATTTAAATTTGTTAATTTCTTGCAAGAAATTAATTCCAGATAATTATATATTATTAACATTTTAATCATCTCCATCTCTCTTGCTGTAAATTTGTTATTTTAAAATCATACAATAAAATGGAGTTGACTCAAGAAAACTTAAATTTAGATGAGAAAGAAATTGAGTTGATGGAAGAAGTAAATTATAATTTAGTTGAAAAAGAAAAGGGATTAGAGAATGAATGTGATGAAGATGATGATTCTAGAGTATTCGTGTTAGATGAATCAGCTCTGGAGACTGCAAAAACTATATTTGGTTTACAGAATCTTCAAGATATACAAGATGGTGAAGGAGAAAATGATGAGGGGAAAGTGATGAGAATTTTCATATGCCTAAAACGCCTTAATGACAAGAAGTTTACAAAAAAATACCATGTTCCACTGTTGGTAGATGAAGTAAAGATGTTGCTTTTGTGAAAGTTAAAGAACATAATACACTCATCAAAGAAATCAACAAAGGTAGATCAAATGAAGAGATAGAAGTTGAAGACAATTTACCCACTCTGGTTGCAGACATAACAGTTGCACCAATTGATGAGATTGAAATTTCTTTACTAAAATATAAGAGACACAAAAAATCAAATGAGGAACTTGAAATTCTTCAAGAAGTGTTTAATCATCCTACAAACTTACCAAAGGAAGTAGCAAAAAGATCATTTGAAAATCTATTTAAAATAAATAATTCATGGTCATCTACTAAAGTTAGGAATTATTGGTATAATAATGTAAAGAGAAAACAAGGATAAAATTACATTGAATTATTGCTTTTAATTACTTCAATGTATTCTATCTAAATTAGATAATTCAATAAAATTAGTATAATGATCTAATTAAAAAAAAAATTTAATACTAATATAAAATAGTCATAAATAACTTATAAAATTGTTTTTTGTCTTTAATTTCTTCCACCTCCAAGAAAACCAAACGAACCATATATTTTCTGGGAGTTCTCAATGACTCTATCTTGTGATGCTAAAATGATCTTAATAGAATTGTTTTTCATAAATAATTAGGTCTTTAAAGTTAAAAAGTATGAGGCTCTTTGGGAAGCTATTGCACTATAACAAAACAAACTATTGACAAGTAAAAAATTGAGTTTAAACAAACAAGAGCACAAGATTCTATTTATTTAGAAGCATAAAAATTGTTTATTTATAATCTTGTATTCAATTCTTCCTTCAAAATCAGTTGTACGGAAAACGTGCTATATAGTAAAATCAGTAAACGTGAAATCTTGTCTGACTGTTTATTATTTTTATCAGATGGCACATTAAAGAGTTTTAAAGATGATGTAACTTCTTCATCTTTCAGCATCTTTTTTCTTTTAAAAACGAGGACACAGCTTTCTTCTCTGATATCAATAAATTGAAGACCTTGATCTCAAATGACACCCTTGTTATTATTATTATGGTATTAGAGAAGGGGGTATTAAATTAAAATATGATTGTCGTATCATTAGTAATTTTGGCGAGTTCTGCTTGTATAATCCTAAACCACTTGAAATTAAGGCTGATAACCAAAGTCCTAAATTTTCGGTGGTTGAAGAGGATAGAAAGGCGCTGACATCATTTCTCTTGATGGATGACTGGGTATAGCCCAAATGGTTGGTAGTATTATAGAACGGGGGAAATAAGACATAAATAGATTATACTGGTTATTGTTATGGTAAAGCAAATAACCGTAGAAAAAGATATAGGCTCTGTTAGTAATCTTGTGGATGGATGAATATCGTCGAGAATTTATAAAATAGTCATCATGCTGGTTTGCTTTCTGAGGCAAATGTTGGCTCGGTCACGTTCCCGTTTTCACCAATATTTGCATCATGAATCCCGCGAAGTATCCTTGATGCATCAGACAAACCCCGAGTCCCTTAAATGTGTATTTTACAATTCCATAATAGAGATGTAAATGGAGCCCGTATGTAATTAGCATTACATATGGGGGCGGACCAAAATAATTTCAGGGATCAAAATTAGTCAAATTCTTTAATATTCATCGTCGACATAGTGTAATTACCTCCATATAATATAGGTAAAGTAATCGATTCAAAGACACAACTTCACGCTAAGCTTAAAATCTTATTTTCGATTTCTTCAATCTGGCTGATATTTGGGAGTTTTCTTTTCTTAAATGTCAAATAATTTCTTTTTTTGGAGTTGTTTTCATAGTAATATCATTCTCTTTTCTAGTTTCTTCTCTCTTTGTCTTTTTGTCCATTATCATGCTCTTTTATTTAAATACTATTAATAACTATATATAATAATTAAAAAGTTGGCAACTGAGATGTTGTATTATTTTTTGTAATAACCCGTATATATGTGTGCGTGTATACTGTGTATATAATAATAATATTATATAAATTTTAAAAAAAATTTTTTCTAATGAATGCATTTTTTTGGTTATTAATCCATTTGTAAATAAGTCTTGTACTAATATTTTTGTCGTTCAAGCAAGTAAAATCTCGGTTAGTATAGTGGTTAGTATCCCCGCCTGTCATGAATTTCAGCACGCGGGAGACCGGGGTTCAATTCCCCGACCGAGAGCAAATAAATAATTTTTTAATTATATTTCTTTTCGTTAGATTTAAATAATATAAAGAAGCTTATATTTAAAACAAGTATTATTTTTAATTCTACATTCCTAATCCAATTAACAATCAAGTGTTGTGTTGTTGGGTTTTTTCTCTTTGTAATTATTACAGTAGCAATAATAATAATAAATAAATAAAACTTACATTATCTTTGTTTGAACGTATTTATATAATTTTACAAACAGTTGGAACTGATTAAAAAAAGGATAATTTAATTAATGACAAGATAATAATAATAACAATAATAATAATAATATGGAATCAGTATTCTACTTTGTTTAAACATGGCTTCTTATGATAATGATGAGAGAGAAAGACATGATATTCTGATGATAATTTTGAAAAAAATCCTAAAAAAAAAAAAAAAGAAAACCATGTCACAAAATATTTGATGATGATGTCAACCGATATTTTAGGATTTCCTGCATCAGAAAAAAAAAAGTTTCAGCTAAAGTAAAAAACAAGTTATTTAAATAATAATAAATTTTGAAAACATACTTTTCCCTCAGCATCTGGTGGTGATAAATTACCATGTTTTATTACCAAGAAAAATGACGAATTCTAAACTTGGATTTAAGCTCGCCAGGAAGATTTCTATTTATAAAACAAAAAGCATTAATCTTGTTCCAGTCCTCCCTTATTAGTTAGTTTCATAATAAAGTCAATATTAAGTTTTGTTGTATGAATTGAATAATTCAACAAGAATGAATAAAATGAAGATTCCAAAATAATTTAGATAATCCCAAATGAACAAAACAAATAAAATAAGTAAAACAAGCAAACAAATAAAAACGAACAAAAGAACGTACGAATAATAATAATAAGGAGGGAGGGATTGTATCCAATCAAATGTTTGTTCAACATTTTTGGTTAAATGGCATTTGGATTAATTGTACATATATGGTGATTTTCTAAATTCTCGTGAGGTAAATAAACCTGATACTTCTAATTAACCACGGGGAAATTATTGTCGGTGGTTACCAATGATATCAACAAATAAAATTGCTGACTATGACGTTAATGAACAATAAAGTCATACATAAGTTGCCATCAAATGAAACGAATGCACAGTAAAATTTTATTCATTTGCTCATGGCTCAAATGGTCCAACAAACACAAATGATCGATAGCCACGACTATACTAAAAGGGCTATCGACACAAAAGGAAGATCTATTTGGATTTCAGCATTAGGCAATGCAGTTACTTATAAATTACTTATGGTTGTCACTTAATAACAGAGCATCATTCGTCACCTTGTGGTTTTCCCATGAAATTGTGATATACTTGTCAACATCATCAAAGTTTAGTTTGCAACACATTTCATCAACGGGTCAACAGTAGGAGTTGGTATTTATTTGTAGTTATAATGGTAATTAATATCCATAATTCAATAAAATGTTCATTCATTCACATTTTTGTAAACAATAAATAACAAAATTTAGTATTTTATTCTCTTGATATTGTTGACATTGTTGAAACCAATATCTCAACACGTTAACCGTAATAATAATAATAATAATATGTGACAATTACAACATCCGTGTCAATATTAATATTAACTGTTAATATACATTCGTGTGACAACTTTAAAATATAATATAAATATATCCCGTTTATGCTTAATCTTATTTATCTTATTTACAAAATTTTTAAATTTTTTTTTTCCTTTAAACAAGTAACCTTTTTTGAAACATTTTTATAAAATAGAAATAGACATACTCATTTTAAAACATAATATTAAATGAAAATGCAAACTACTAAATGTGTGGTTATAGGAGATGGGTAAGTAAAGTAAATTTTATTAAGTACCTTATTCAAAATCCAAGTTCAAATTCGCTATCCAATCTATATTAACATTCATTTGATCTAATAACTATTTGAATATTATTATTATTTATTTTTTAAAGTTCTGTCGGAAAAACTTGTATGTTAGTTAGCTACACTACAAATGCTTTCCCAGGGGAATATATACCAACGGTGTAAGTTTATAAATAGTTGGTTGATTTTTTAAATTATATATATACATTGCTTACTTGCTTGTACATACACATAGGTTTGATAATTTTACAGCCAATGTAATGGTGGATGGAAAACCAGTTAGTATGGCTCTTTGGGATACAGCAGGGCAAGAAGATTATGACAGATTAAGACCACTTTCATACCCACAAACGGATGTTTTCCTGACCTGTTTCTCAACGGTTAGTCAATCATCTTTCGAAAATATAAGGAACAAGGTAACAACAAAAAACAAAGATTATTTTTTGATCAAACAAATTATAAATTCTGAGCAATCTTGTACATATTTTATAATAGTGGATTCCAGAGATTACTCATCACTCTCCAGATATTCCATTTATACTAGTGGGCACTAAAATTGACCTTCGTGATGATAAAGCCACGTTATTAAAACTACGTGAAAAAAACCAATCACCAATTTCTTTTGTAGAAGGACTTCAAATGGCAAAGGATATTGGTGCGGTAAAATATGTAGAATGTTCGGCGTTAACACAAAATGGATTGAAAGCAGTGTTTGATGAAGCAATAAGAGCGGTTATTGCTCCTATATTGATTAAAAAACATAAACGTAAATGTATAATATTATGATTTTAATTATTGTACAACGCAGTCAATGTATTATACCTAATCAATTAATATTAATAATAAATTTGTGCATGATTTCTGAAATGTAGTCTAAATCGAATGATCTTTATTAATTAACAATATTTCCGAATTTGTATTTCTATGCAGATAAAAACTGCATACCTATATTTAAGCAATTCTTTTTGTAAAATTAAAAAAATTTTCAATTCATTTTCTAAATTTTCTTCAATTAAAGAAACTTTTTTAAAAAAAAATCAAGAATAAATAAATATAATAATAATGAAAAATATAAAATGTGTTGTTGTCGGTGACGGGTAAATTATTATTAAATAATATCTTTATTTTTTTGTACAATTAATAAAAAGGCGTTTTTTTTTAAAAAATAAAAAATATAGTGCTGTTGGTAAAACTTGTTTGTTGATTAGCTACGCAACAAATGCATTTCCAGGAGAATATATTCCAACGGTGTAAGTAGGAAAGAATTTATCTAAGCTATATATGTAAATAAATGAACAAAATGATAAACTCATAAAATTGATTTTTGTTTTTAAATAGATTTGATAATTATTCAGCCAATATAGCAGTTGATGGAAATCCAATCAGCATGGCACTTTGGGATACAGCTGGTCAAGAAGATTACGATAGATTAAGACCACTTTCATATCCACAAACTGATGTTTTCCTGATTTGTTTCTCAACAGTTAGTCAACCATCTTTTGAAAATGTTAGAACAAAGGTAATATATATATATATTATTTATTCGCTTGATTGCCTTCTTTACCTCACTATTGACTTCTTTTGAATAATTTCAAGTGGTACCCGGAAATATCTCATCATTGTCCTGGCGTATCAATAATTTTAGTTGGCACGAAACTTGATTTACGCGATGACAGAGATACCCTGTTGAAGTTAAGGCAAAAAAATCAAGCACCATTAACTTATCCACAGGGATTGCAATTGGCAAAAGATATAAATGCAGTAAGGTACATGGAATGTAGTGCTTTAACTCAAAAAGGCCTAAAAAGTATTTTTGATGAAGCAGTACAAGCAGTCTTAAGACCTATACCCGTTAAAAAGAAAAAATCAAAATGCATTATTACTTAAAACACAAAAAATCCTTTTTTTTTATTTTTTCAATTTTTTTTTGTATTTGTTTATTTATAGATAAAAAACTTTTTTAATTCGAATTTTGAATGTGTGTATTTTCATCCAGATGTCATCCGTGTTCCTATAATCACAATCACAATCTTAATCTTTTAAGAGAGCATGGTGATACACAGTTTCATGAAAAACAATAATATTTTTCCCAAAGAAATCAATCAATGATCATGTAAATAACCAATAAAATTTGCTAAAACCATCAATCAAAATGTCTTGTTAATAATAATAAAATAATTTTTCAAGGATTATCATTATGCAGACAAGATCAAAGTAAAATTAATAATAACTGTGGTAGAAAATAAAGATATTTATTGATTCTGAATTTTTGATTCTATCGTCAAAGTTTCAATGTCAATAATATAAGGGTTGAAACATTATCAAGGTTTTTTTTAAAAAGTTTTCCAGAAGAAAAAGGCTTTCATAAATGTTGTTATTATAATTATACCTTGTGTTAATATTAATTTAATTTTAAAAAGGTATTTATTCATGAGTCAATATATATATAATCAAAAAATTATTAATTGGATTTATTTGAATCTAAAAATATCAACTCAAAACGTCAATGGTTTTTTCCACTGAAATATGTTATATATCAACAATACAAATACGAGTTGTTTGGGTAATAGTAAATTTCATTATAATCGTTTAATTTTAATAAAATAAAATAGTATACAATTCTATTTAGAATCCATTTTTGCACAAAGCAGTTGTTGAAATATTATACATGTGGTCAAAATTATTGAATTGAGTCATTACCATAATTTTATGCAACCAATTCATGATGTAATTCGTGATACAAGACGCAATTCGTGAATTGACTCAATACACAATTTGTGATGCAAGACGTAATTCGTGACGCGATTCTCCAATCCCAATCCCATTTTACGTTTTTCATTAATAAATGGACGGATTCCTTGATGGACAATAATAATTTACTTAAAAGAACCACAACAAATCATAACGAATGGACAAATTACAACATGTTTTAATATTAGCATTTATTTATTATTTTCCTCAATAAAAAAACATATTTCCTTAATATTTATAAAATAATATTTTCTTTCTAAATATAATATCCATTTAGACTATTCTAACTGGCTGAAGGTTTCTATGTATTCATGGTACCCTTACATTACTTGGAATATTATACTAAATAAAATTATTTGATCTTTAGTGTTTTGAATAATATGTTTACTCAAAACCACCTCAGCTCCCGCCCACCGCATTTACTAATGCGCTTCGATACTATTTTTTAAGATTTGAATGAATCAATTGGTCAATATCAACCTTAACAATAACTCCCATAATTCTATTTGATATTCTTCATGCTTGTTTTCCATGACGTTGCTGTATCTTTCTTTGAATAAAGTTGTCTGGTTGTCTTTCTCGTTCATGTAAATGTTTATGTTTTTAAGGCTTGAGATTACCATGACATTATATGTTGTTGTTATTGAAATAAACAATACAATAATTATTATTATTAATAATATTTTTTTCCGTGATTTTTTTTGTGATATACTGGTCTCTTTCATCACAATCATTTCTAAAATCAACCAATCACATGTTGATAAATTCTGTGGTAAATCTTTACTAAGTTACGATCGGCACAAATGCGAAAAGAAAAAAATTTGTGTGGTGTGTGTTCTTGTAATTATATGGTGTTCAAGATTAGATTCTGTATTTAGGGTGAGACTTTACATTTTCTACAAAACGCAGAAAATCATTGTTCCTATAATGATAATGGTGGTATAATAATAGCTAATTAATCATCCTTCAATTATTTATTATTATTGTTATTACATTCAAACCCATTATAATTACTATTACTAATTACTACCACTATTACTTTATCCATACCTTGGGTTAACAACAACATGTAAAGCTCATACATTATATTATTAATTCACTATTTCATTATCATCATTATTGTTTTATTTACCAATAGGAAATGATAAGGAAAAGAAAACGCGTTATATAAAATTTTAAATCGAATTATTTGTTATGTGACGTTGCGTAAGTTTTTGTTATTTGTAGATCAATCATCAGAGGTACCAACAACAACTTTCTTTCCCAAAAAAAATAAAAAAATAAAAATCAACTTTTATTGGATATTTTATATATAGATAGATATAACTTTTTTAAATATACAATATGCGCTTAGAAGGTTCTTCAAGCTCGCGAAGATATTGTAAAACTGAAAAAGACGAAGATGAAGAACTTTTAAAGGATGAAGCTGATGAATCAAATAAAATCATTTCTTTCGTTGAGTCTCCAAGTTGTAAGTATATATCATTGTGAAATAAATAAAACACGTCTCCTCCTATTTGTTAAACTCTATCTTAATTAAATTATTATTATTTTTTTTTTTTGTTGTTGTTGCAGACATAAAAAATGGTGTAATGCGTGATTATCAAATCCAAGGGCTTAATTGGTTAATTTCACTTTATGAAAATCAATTAAATGGCATTTTGGCGGATGAAATGGTAAATATTTGAAAATTAAAATTCTATTTACATGCATGTATAAATGCTTATGTGTTTGCTTATTTTTAATAGGGTCTTGGAAAAACTTTACAGACGATATCATTTTTAGGTTATTTGAAATATTTTCGTGATGTATCTGGCCCACATTTAATAATTGCTCCAAAATCCACTTTAAACAACTGGCAAAAAGAATTCAATGCCTGGATACCTGATTTCAATGTTCTTGTCTTCCATGGAAATAAAGATGAAAGAGTGAGTGATCTTTGATTTTAGTTTTTTTTAGGAGGGAAAAAATAATAATAATTGATGATTTTTGATTGATTAATTAATCTCCTTTTCGTTGATAAGGCAAAAATAAAAGTAGAAAAATTAGTCCCGCTAGATTTTCAAGTGTGCATAACATCTTATGAAATGTGTTTGATTGAAAAATCAGCTCTTAAAAAATTTGAATTCAAGTACATAGTGATTGATGAAGCCCAACGCATTAAAAATGAAAATTCATTGCTCTCCAAAATAGTTAGAATATTCCAATCAAAAAATCGTCTGTTGATAACAGGAACTCCTTTACAAAATAATCTTCACGAGTTGTGGTCTCTCTTAAATTTTCTTTTACCTGATTTATTCAATTCCTCAGAAGATTTTGATTCTTGGTTTGAATCTCAAGATGGAGATCAAGATAAAGTTGTTCAACAACTACACAAGGTATTTCCCTATTATATATTTTGTATTTATATATTCATTCAATTGCACACATAAATAACTATATCCAAATATGTTTTATTAGATTTTACGACCTTTCTTACTACGTAGAATAAAATCTGATGTTGAGAAGTCCTTACTTCCAAAAAAAGAAATAAACATATATGTGGGTATGTCAGCAATGCAAAAAAAATTGTATCAATGCATCTTGGAAAAAGACATCGCTGCTGTTAATGGTATGTGTGTGGGTGTGTGTATAATCTGATTATTTCGGATTTAAAAAACAACTTTTAATTTAAATTTTTCCATGTTATAAAAAAGGTGCATTGGGTAAAGGTGAAAGCAAAACACGTTTGTTGAACATTGTGATGCAACTTAGGAAATGTTGTAATCACCCATATTTATTTGATGGAGCTGTATGCATCATGATAATAATGATTTTTATTTTAACATCATTTTCATATAAATATTTATATACTAAATAATAAATTCACAAAAAAAAGGAACCTGGACCTCCATATACAAATGATATACATATCGTTGAGAATTCAGGAAAATTGGCTGTATTGGATAAGCTTCTCAAACGATTAAAGGCTCAAGGTTCTCATGTACTATTATTTAGTCAAATGAGTCGTGTTCTTGATATACTAGAAGATTATTGTATATTTAGAAATTATGGTGATAATTTTTATTATTATTTCTAATATTGATAATAATATTGTTATTAGCTTGGTAGGAAACAATTAGATCTAACTGTATGTTATGATTCAATTTATGAACAATTATTAGAATATTGTCGAATTGATGGTCAAACTCAAACGGAGGATCGAATAGATTCGATTGATGAATTCAATGCTCCTGGAAGCGATAAATTTATTTTCCTTTTAACAACACGTGCTGGTGGTCTTGGAATCAATCTTACAGCGGCTGATATCGTAATAATATTTGATAGTGATTGGTAATGAATTTGCTATTTAAAAATATTTTTTATTTTTTCCTCGCATAACTAATCATTTTAGTTACTATATATGCACATATATACATAGGAATCCACAAGTTGATTTACAAGCACAAGATCGTGCTCATCGTATTGGTCAAACAAAACAAGTTTATGTGTTTCGTTTTGTAACTGATGTAAGTTATATAGGATAAATGGAAGGAAATTGATGGGCTCATTTTTTAAAAAAAAAAAAATTTTTTACTTTAGAATTCAATCGAAGAAAAAGTTCTTGAAAGAGCAGCACAAAAACTAAGATTAGATCAACTTGTTATTCAACAAGGACGAACAAGTCACGCACAAAAAAGTATGTATATATGATCATTTTCCATTAAAGGTTACGCCAACTTATTCATTCGTCGTTTTATCTAATTTATATGTATATATTTATTTAGATGCTACCAAGGAAGAACTTTTATCAATGATCCAACATGGTGCCGAGAAAATTTTTAGTTCGGCTGATAGCACTGTCGGTGACGATGACATTGATATTATTTTGCGTAAAGGTGAAGAAAAAACAGCTGAACTTAATCAGAAATTTCAAAATCTTGGATTAGATGATTTGCAAAAGTTTACATCTGATTCAGGTTCATCTTATGAATGGCAAGGAGAGAATTGGGCAAATAAGGTTTGTGTTATTTTATCATAATTTTTGCGATTTTGAAGTTAAAAATCATTTAATTTTTCATTAATTTTAACAGCGTAAAGGAGAAACTTCACGAAGTTTCAATTGGATAGAACCACCAAAACGTGAACGTAAAGCCAATTATGCAATAGATTCATATTATAGAGAAGCTTTAAGAGTAAATTCAAAACCTGCTCAACCAAAGGTTCCAAAAGTGTCAAGGCAAATTACTTTGTAGGTCTTAAACACCACCACATCTATGAGTATACATATATATAATGCGGTTGATTAATTAATCAAATTTTTTGTATTATCAATAAATAGTTTAGAGTTTCAATTTTATCCTCCACATTTAATTGAATTATTGAAAAAAGAGAATTATCATCAACATGTATGTGGTGTTTAAAATTTAAAATTCAAATGTGTTTTTATATTAAATGTTATTATTTTTTATTAATAACTATTTTAACATCATTTATTAATATGTTTTAGAAATTAGTAAGTTTCAAGATCCCATTAACAGAACCTTCATCTCAAAGTGATAATCCTGAATTAAGGGAAAAAGAACGTCTAGAAGAACAGAATAAAATTGATAATGGTGTGTATGATTTTTTTATGACATTCTTTATATTTAACTAACTCGCATCAAGGACTATAATATTTATATTTCACGTATTCCGTGCGCATGGATAGCTGAACCTTTAACTGAAATTGAAGAGGCTGAAAAAAAATCATTAATGAAAATAGTGAGAACACAATATTTAAATCTTATATATATATATTGTTACTTTATTCAATATTATTCAATATTATTCAATATTATTTATATATATATTGTAATAAGGCATTTGAAGGTTGGAATAAACGTGATTTCAATCTCTTTATAACTGCTTCAGCTAAATATGGGAGGTGAGAATTTGGTTCAAAGATTATATATATAGCATTATGAATTAATGATTATAACAGTGATTATGGACTAATGATTAATGGTTTAAATATGATAGAACTGCTGTTGAAGAGATAGCTAAAGAGGTGGAAAAATCTTTAACTGATGTTGAGAAATATGCTAAAGTATTTTGGGAGCGATATAAAGAATTACCTAGTCTGTTTAACTTCCTTTTATTACTATTTATTCTACGTACATACATATTTATTAGCATTTATTAATATACATTTTTTCACGACCCTTTCTAAAAATAAAATAAACAGACTATGAAGAATTGATTGCAAAGATTGAAAGAGGTGAACAAAAAATACAACAAACTCAAGAGATACAAGGACTGATCAAATCAAAAGTAGCGCAATATAAATACCCTGGTTACGATATACAATCATCAGGTCAAAACAAAGGCAAGTCATTATTCACTGATGAAGAAGATCAATATTTGTTAATAACACTAGCAAAACATGAATATGGAACTGAAGATGTTTATGAGAAGATACGAAATGAAATTGAGAATGATGAATCTTTTCGATTTAATTGGTTTATTAAATCAAGAACTGCTAGTGAATTAAATAGACGCTGTACCGCACTTATAAACATGATACAGAAAGAACAAATTGATGATGATGGCAGTAGTGGTAATGAAGGGAGAAATAAAAATGATTTAAAAGTAAGCATCATAATCATAATTTACTTGATTTCTTTTGTACTATATATGAATTTAAAATTACCAACTAAAAAAAAATTGACATTATTTGTAGCGAAAAAATGATTCACCACAAACCAATGGAAACATAAATAATAAGCGTAGTAGACGTTCATGATTTTTTCACTATATATATATATATATATATTAATAATATAATATAACTTTCTTTTACACGACTAATAATGAAGTAAAATAAAATCACCGTCAACAAAACATGTCTATATTAACGTGTACTTGAAATAATCGTAATACAGATATTGCGTAAAAATTTAATGACGAGATCAATAACCACCATCATTATTTTTTTAAGGATCCTCTTCGAGTAATTTCATGAACTCGGCCCCCGGATCTGGATCATCAGAATTTATGTTACCGTTATCTTAATTTTCAATTTTCATAATTGATATAATCATAAGTTATTTTTCCAATCTTGAATGTACTTGCCAACAAACAACCTTACCAATTATTAAATCATTACTATTACTATTATGATAATCGAAATTGTCAATATAATTGGTGTCCTCGTTCGTATTATCTTTAATGAAACTTTCTATTTCCATCAGAACTAGATCGATCTTATCTATGCTTTCTTTTGTTCTTTTAATAAAATCGTCATCAATGCGATCAATATTATTTAGTTCTGCTAGTTTTTTCAACGCTGAATTCCTAGCTGTAACGACCTCATCCTGGAAATCGGATTGATATTATTTTAAATCGTATGAAAAAAAATATAATTAATTAATGTGCGTATAACTTGAATGTTCGGGTTGCCTAATTAAATATAGAAAACAAAATTTTTAACCGTTGACTAGAGCTTGAACTAAACGAAATAACAACTATGATAATATTTGCCCATACGCTTCACTTCTTGGCATTTTTTTATTTTTTTTATGGACGTTCTCAAATCTTGGGATTTGATTAAATCAAAATTTTAAATTTGTAGTATTTTTTTATTAGTGTCATGTGCAACCAATGAAATGCTTGTGCACGTTATCACTCATTCCCAAGGGGTGCATAGTGGAAATTTGAATGTTACATTAATTTTTTATATTGTGCAACTTAACTTTACAATACACGGCAATATAAAGAAATTTATTCTATGCCATTTGATATAGATAAATGGGATTATGATCAATTCAACAATCCAAATAAATTCCAATGGATAATTGGCACCACTCCATTTTCAAACTGGCAGGTATATTTAATATAAATCATGGTTACTTTATGGATTTTTTTTTTAAAATCAAAATGATCAATTAATTTATTAATGTTAATTTCTTTAATTTGTAGTTGGATCATGGGGAGTTTATTTTTCAACTATAATTGGTTTAAAGGTGAATTTAAAAATTAACAAAATATCATTATAATCACAATCACAATCACAATCATAATCATAATCATAATCATATGTATCATTATGATAATGAAGACTTTGATGTCATCATCATCTCCATTCTCTTTACCTAATATAACAGCATTACATAATTTAGTTTTATGTTTATTATCTGCTTTTATGTTTGTTGGTGCTGCTTTTGATTTTATTAACAGATGGAAGGTGTGATTTATTCATGGTTTTATTTTTCTAAATTAAAACTTTCAATAATGAAATTTTATTTTTTGACATTTTTTTGATATTTGATTTAGGAATATGGAATTTCAGAATGTTTTTGTACTTCAAATGATAATCTATTAAAAGGAAGACTGTTATACATAACTTATATTTACTATTTATCAAAATACCTTGAATTAATGGATACAGTTATTCTAGTACTAAAAAAAGTAATTATTAGGATGTTTTTATTTTTTAAAAAAAGGAATTCTTCTAAAAATTTTTATTATTATTAGAAAAAAATAATTTTTTTAC